CTTAATTTTCTTTGAGTAATTATTAAAAAGCTCATTGTATCTGTCTAATATTAGTATTTATTAATATGACTTTTAAAAAATTAAAAGAAAAAAAATCTAAATTATTTTAGTTTTTTAATATAAAATTATTAAAATAAAATAATTTTAAAATAATTCTATTTTAATTTTTTAAAAGTTTAACTAATAAATACTTTTTAAAAAAAGTTGAAAAGTTTAGAGGATAATGACCCCCAAAACACACTTAGTTCCATCCCTATTTGGTTTATTTTGGATGGGTCAATAAATTAAACGTTTTTCTCATTCATTTATTTGTTTGTTGTTCAATGACCTTATTCCTCGGCCGGGTCCGGATCTGTAGATGAAGTCAACCATACCTTTCTTGACGCTTCCGAAAATCCCCGCCCAGTTTTCGACATTGAAAAGAGCACGATCAAATGAATTGATTGATTTAAATGGAAATATAATATAATTATAAAAATATTAATTTATTTATATATAAATTTTATACATTATATTTATATAAAATACATATATAGACAGTAGTTACATGATTATGTACAAGGGAAATATTAGTGATAGTTAATTTGTCTTGGGATTCATATATTAAAATATGCTACCAAAACAAGTCAACCAAAAAGACAGCGGTAATACAAACAAGGGTCCCATGACCACGCTAGAGATTGAAACAGGTTCCTTAGATATAGTTTAAAGTCGTTGTCACAGTGAAAAAACATTAAGATGATGTCGGTAGGAACAAATTATCATGCTGTGTGTAAATCACAATCTTTTTTTTTCCTTGGGTAAAATGGAAATCACAATCTCCTTTTTTTTTTTTTTCGGGTAAAATGGAAATCACAATCATGGTATGATAAAATAACATTTATAATAATAATCGTACAATTAGATCAGCTTATATAATTTTGCATAAGAAAAGTAGATATAGACTCATGACTTCCCCTACAGCCACACCAGACAAAACGAATGAGTATTTATCTCATTTTTATTGCCGAAAGTTAGCGACTAACAGAAGAAACAAACATTTGATTAAACACAAAGGATGGCAGTGGGAAACATGCAGGCCAGCCCTTGCACATCACATCCACAGTGAATAATGCCAATCATATTCCAAATTCATGATTGGTAGCCAAAGAAGAAGAAATTAACTACAATTACCAAAAGATCGAATCATTCAGAGTTTTTATTTCATGAAATAATAGCATTTTCTGTAAACACGATTGTTCATCACTTCGAAGTTAAACTAGAACCAGCTCAAAACGAAGGTTCATAGCACAATATACCATACCAGGAGAATTAATGGTCATCAAGAGCCATAAATCTTCGAAATGATCCAGAAACTCCAGCAGAACCTTTTAGAAAGTTAAATGCCAGAAGAAATCATAGGAGGACGTCGGTAATCGAACTTGGTTTTAATTTCAGAAACAACTTTGGAATTCAATAGCAAAACAAAATCTACGCATTAATTCAGGATTACAAACTCGTCCAATAAAATTCAAATGAAGAAATTATAGAACAATCAAAACTCACCATGTAGAAATCCACTACCAAAATACGATTTAGTGTTAGATTTGAAGCGAGGAAATACCTTGCAGGCAATCACAATTCTCCGCCTCCTTGCGAACAACATCAAGAACAGCGTCGATCAGCTCCGCTCCCTCAGTGTAATGACCTTTGGCCCAGTTGTTTCCAGCACCAGACTGCCCGAACACAAAGTTATCGGGCCTGAAGATCTGGCCATAGGGACCGGATCTGATACTATCCATGGTACCAGGTTCAAGATCCATAAGAACAGCCCGAGGCACGTACCTGCCACCAGAGGCCTCATTGTAATACACATTGATGCGCTCCAGTTGAAGATCGGAGGATCCGTCTCCCTGGTACCTTCCGGTAGGATCAACGCCGTGCTCATCGCAGATGACCTCCCAAAACTTTGAGCCGATTTGGTTGCCGCATTGGCCTCCTTGTACGTGAAGAATCTCCCTCATGATGAATCGGCAAGATCGGGGGGGTGTCTGGTTTCTTGCAGAAATGAGAGGAGAATGGATTTATGGGGGAAGAGAGAGAGGGAGAGTAATAATAGAGAGCGGGATATTTTTGAAGGTTTGTCTGTCACGACTCACGAGCTTGACAGGTAGATCGGGACAGTGCGGACAACAAACTAAACGCTGGACGGGAAGGGTGCCCACGTTAAGAAGGTGAAGCGCCATGTGAGGATGTTTTCACCATTTTCGCGGAAATACCCGTTCGGTTCCCTCCCTATTTTTTAGCCTTTTTTTTTTAATGTACGGTTCAGTTACAGTGGAGGCCCACCAAACAGAAAGATTATTGCCACGTGTAATAATTGTACTGGTTAGATAAAAACCGGTGAGTATAACTGGGCCAGCAGTCGTTTTTATTCCGCTCAACTTTTCGTATAAATTGGGCTACTTAAAGATTAGTGCTTCGAGCTATTGGGCCACAACAGGCTTCTAGATAAGGCCTACATGAGCGATTCCTTCAGGAAGATGATAAAATATAATCATTTATAGAGAGGAAAATCATGTAGACTACAACAGTCATAACCCATGAATATCAGCTCCACGAGTCCACCTTTGGACACATTTTCACCATGATATCAACAAGCTGGTAGGATTTCCATTAACTTTACAGAACTAGATTTTTTTTGTTTTTTTCTTTTGTACTTAAGCAGAACTGGAATAGATAAGGAGAACCAGAAGCAAAAACAACCTATCATGGTGTTCTAGTGTTGCAGCTGGGATTCATTGCAATACCGTTTGAAGTTCAGAGCCTCATCTACCAAAAATTCACTGCAAAAAAGAAGTTTGAATTGTTAAGAACATGCAAGAATTAACGGAGAACTTATGAACTATCAATCAAGTATCGATTATTGAACTAGAAATGACTCACAATATCCGCTCAGCCATTTGTGATACTTCCCATCTTGGACTCCAAGGATAATCTGACAGAAGTGCAGACTTTATCGGTACACCTTGGGATTGGAAATGCTACAATCAATGGTAATCCATTCAGTCATTTTGCACAGGAGGAAGTCATATCAGTGGATGAAAGAAAATGAATGGTTTTTGAACAACTAGAATGAATTAGCCTAGTTATGCACTTATACTTTCTTTTGGGATAGTGATGTTACCAACACCCTAGTTGATATTTAGATACAACAAAAGCATTGTCAAAAAATTAATTATAACAACAAACACATTGATATTAAGACATGTTTAAGGAAATGTAAATGTACATATTCAAATCAAGTATAGATATAGTAGACTAAATATCCATTTTCGACGTAGTAATGTCCCCAAACTTTATGCACAGAGCCACAAAACATCCATAAAATTGATGCAAGGAAAAATAAGTATTACCTGAGTACTTTGAAGCATCAAAACCGGCTGTTGCTTGGGAAACTGTGTTGAAAGAAGAAAATACACCTACAGTAAAAAAGAAACTCAATGTTTTGATCACACATGGCAAAAAGAAATTTGACTGCCAAAACATAACGATCAGCAAATAAATAAAAGATTTCTCACAAAAAAAAAAAAAAAGAATATTGATATCAGTAGGTAGATAAAATATTAGTAGCACCACATCACAAGAAAAGAAAACTATCACATTACTGAAAGTCTGAAACATTCCAAATGATCACATAAATTCACCCATGCATATGTGATGATCAGTCCTTGAAGAATTGAAATTTACTAAACTTCTAAATTTGATTTTAAATGAGACATAAAACAATTAACATATCTTACCAGGAAAGCAAATGGTCCAGAAGTTGCAAGAAATGTAGCCTTTCTACAGAACACCTGGGAAACAATGAGCATCAGCAGTCAATATTATTTAATCAAAAACTTTAGAAGAAATACTTATACAAGAATACAAAGAATGCACACCGGATCAGCTTCCAAAGGTCTTCCAAATAAAGGAGCTAATGCCTCAATAAAGGACCTTCTAAAGTCAATAAGTGTTACTGCTTCAAAGACCTTAAGAACAAGGAAAGATTTAAGGAACAAAAATTATCAAATTTATGATATCCAACTCAATTGTCCAATGATCATAGAGTTTACACTCACCTGCTTCCCAAGGGATTCCTCTAGGTTGGGAAGATATTCAGCCATGCACCTTCAAAGGAGACAATAAAACCAATAATGATTTGACAACAATGATGTGTCAGCATAAGTCCTACTGGATATCTTTCAAGATGTTGCAAGGATGTCTATAAAGGCAGAATGACATGCACAACTTACATTCCATCCAACCACGAAGGAAGCTTGACATCATCAATGGAAAATAAAGCTTTCAGCTCGGGAGGTGACATCAACTTCAATCGAGGTGCTGAAGGAGCAGATGCATATTTTCTTGCAACCGGGTATATAACCTACACTCATCAAGAACTCTACTTATGAAACATTACATGTTGGGTCAAAAGTGAAGAGAAAAAAGAAGAGAAATAGAAAAAACTGAACTTGAACTCAATCAAAAGAAAATTGAACCTGTAGGTATATCTTCTGCGGATGTCTCCAGGGGCATGCAGACACCAACTTATTTATGTTCATATGCATTAAAGGTACCCCAAATTTGACCTCCTCTGTCTACGCTAAATTCAAAGGCATAAAAACCACAACTATTACATAAAAAGCTACAATAATAAACTATAAAACAACATGTCAAAAAAGAAAAGAAAAGAAGGCTGGTATGCTTCTTTAATGAATACCTTATCAGCACCAGAAATAATCTGCATTTCAATTCCCTGCAGCAGAGAGATGAGTCAAGCAGGAGATGAGGAGTTATGGCAACAATCTATTCATCCAGTGTAGTAAACAAATGATTCGCATGGATACAAAGTTGTAAGAATAGGAACTAGGAAGTAGGAACTAAAACATATTGATCTAGTCACTAGTAGTAATAAAGGTTTTCATTCCTTCCCCCACAAAAATAATTTTCAATCTCCACAAATTACCTCTCGAGTCATGATAGTGCTTATTTCAAATTTTAACCTATCATCATCTATTTCTCCAGCTCGCCACCTCTGGTACGCTGCGTACTGATCCCTATAAAACAGAGAATCCCATTTCCTTATTTTTCTTCCACAATCATCTTAAAACTTCATCTATAGCAAATTAGTAATTCCCAGTAAAACTCAATGCTTACCTCAATTCCTTAATTAGAGCCAGTAGCCTTGTAGGGTCTTTGTTGTTCCAATCAGACATTGCAAACTCTGCCCGCGACCTTGAATCCCTGTCTCCTTCACCAGGCATCATGAGAAACCGATGGAAGTCCTCATCATCAGGTCCAAATATAACATCTGGTGCAGCCAGTGGAAACTCCAAATTGTATATAATATCCCCTGGTAAAAATAATCCAAAAAAAAAAAAACTCAAATCACCTTGCTATCTGGCAATAAACTACCAGTCAAATCTCCCAAAGCATGCAATCAAACCCTTACTAACATTTGATAGTGTCTAAACAATAAGGTATGACCAATGTGAAGCGATCGAGAGTGACACTGTAGTGCTTGCTCCCTGACCATACATTCTCAATCTGCAAAATAGGTTAGATTAGAAATTCCAGTTTCTTTTACGGTAAAAGAACACTGGATTAAGAATAAAACCCTAGCCCAAAAAACTAGCTAGATCTGCTTATAGGAAGTACAATAAATCTAGGTTCGTAGGGTTAGAGGAAGAGATACCTTGAGTTTGTCGGGGAAGTGATTGAGAAGGTAATGGAGCTGAGTTGAAATGTATGGAGGGAAATCGGAGGACATGGCTCCTTAGCTTGAGAGAGACGGGACCGTCAAGATTCCGGTTCGATTCTTGCTTATTCCGATGAGTTTTCGGCGACGGATTTGGATTAATCGCCAGTGGTCGACTGATTAACAGAGGAGGAGGAGGAGGAGTTGAAAAGATTGGGCGGAGGAAGGAGCCGCGGAAGAAGGCTGGGGAGGATCTATCTGTTGAACTGGACTCCCGTAGGCCCATAGAATTTCGGATTGGACCTAGCCCATTTAAATAACTTATATTACAATTGTCGGGACAAAAAGGGCCGAGACGGAGCCTACCTGGCCCATACCACTAAATCCCAAAACTACATCCTCTTAGGGCAAACTCGTCATTACGAAATATTAATAGAAAACCCTAAGAACTGAACTGGAACCCATCACGCTATAAATTGCCATCTCTCTGTGAACTCCGATCCCTGGTCGGTGTCGTCGTTCCTATTGGTTTTAGGTTTTTTTTTTTTTTAATTTTTTGCGTATTTTTTCTCTCTGAGAGAAGAGGAGAAGCAGAATCAGGTGATGAGATTGGATTAATAAATTCTCACGACGGTCGTCTGAGACACCCAAGGTGTCTGCTCTGATGTATTGATCCAATGTTTCTGATGATTTCTTCTTCTTTATTGTCATCGTTATTCTTGGTTTTTTTGGGTTTAATTTTTACTTCCATTTTGATTTGATACAAGCATCAGCCTGGAGCATAATGATGAAGAATTAAAATCGACTTACTCTTTTCTGTTTACAAAATCACGGTGCTTCATCGATTTGTTGAACATTTTTGGTTAAACTGGCACAATGAGGATATATTTTAAGCCTGAGATCAATAGATCATTGAAATTTTTACAGTTTTTATAAAAGTCCTTTTCATTCTGAGTGCCTTCTTCTTTTATTAGGTTCAAGTATTTCTTTCTTTCTCTTGAGATGCCTTGTTATTTTCATTAAATTTTTTTAAGCGTCATCTTTTAATGGCCTGACAGAAGATTATAAGAGATGGGATTGGATACTGTGGAGATGGACTTAAAAGTTAAAACCTTTACAGCTGGACTGCACAAATGTTATGAATATTTTAATAAATTTACATGTTAAGCTAAGCTATACTTTTAATATGCTGGTGGATTATAAAATGCTTTTTTTTGTCCAAACAATGGATTATACTTTTAACAATGAATATTTTCTCGGAAGACATCTCAATTCATATTAGATGATGTTCAAAAAAAAAAAAAAATTCATATTAGATGAATATAAAAAAAGTTGGGAAAATGTGAGTTTTTGGGCTCCTTTTTTTTTAGGGCAGATCTACCTGTAAAAACCACAAAATAGAATTTATAGATTTATTTATAGAAGAATAAAAAATTCAGCCCTTCAAAATCATAGAAAAATAACACAAAATTTGTAATCTAGAAGAAAATTTGGCTACTTTGCAATTACTATAAAAAAAAATGCAGTTCGAATTTTAAAGTTACCAACTTACCACAACGTTTTTAGTAAAACTCATCATATTTATATTTATTAATAGTATTTTGATAATTTCAAAAGTGGAATTGCGTTTTTTTTTTTTTTTTGGTACAGTGCATAGCAACAGATCTCTTGTTATTTAGTCCAGAGACCAAGCCTGCAACAACAATACAATGAGCAGTGCGGGAAAGGATTATTCTTTTAATCCATATTTTCCTAGAGGCATGGTTTAAGTTCTAACCTGGATTTTACCGTCAGAAGTTCCAGCGTAAAGCATTGCTCCATCCATATCCGATGTCAAGGCTATGATCTTTGCATTCCCTCCATTGCGAATTTTGATGGAATCAACTCTGGTGATTCTTTCCTTTAACCAGACCTCAATAATCCCAACTCTTGTGGCTGTAAATATGAAGTCATTGTTGATGGTAATGTGTTGGATGTCGAATCCCGTTGGAAATGATCCTCTTGCTGCCTTGCTTGAGAGAGAAAATACCTTCATATGCAAATTTGTTTCGGAGAAGAATTAATTGCAGTAAGCCTTTGGGATGTTGTGAACATAAATTTGGCTGGCAGATTTTTCTTCAAGACATGCTAGTTGATGTTTAGCTGGAATATTATAAATTTGCTGAAACATAAATATTAACCAGTAAAGAAATCATTACTAGTTTGCTACCTATTTCCTAATATTGGGTTGTTTAAATTATCATAATTCATACTCCGAACTTTCCTGCCAAGTTTCTGCATCTCACAAATTGCAAGGCTACTGTCAATAGAAGTTCAGCTTTTAATTTTCAGATGCGTAAGAAAAAATGAAATGAAATAAATCTTAAATCTCAGACATACTATAGTGTCATTAACTGATTCAGGTGAACCAATGCTGGAGTCATTGCTCATACGTGGGGAGAGAGGCAAGGGATTAACAACACTGGAATCTGTGATAGGAGTGGATAAAAGACGCAACGTAGAGGTTTGTTCTTTTTTATTGGTCATGTCTGGTTTTGGAGATGAAACATTTGGAGAAAGTGTCTAGGGAGAATCCATTGGGAAGAAGCTAGTAGAAGCATTTCCTCGGATCTTGGTTTTTGTTGGCTGCACCGCCGAGCCAATTTCCTTATCTTTGTCCTGTTTCACCACTTTAACATATACCACCTCTTGAAATCTATCTTCAACATCTGCATAAGCATCATTAGGCTCATAATCAGACTCATCTTCATTCTCCTCTGGCACATCCTGACGTACTAACAAAGATAGAGGATTGATTATTCATTCCAAGTTTATAAAGACTATGCAAAGTTCAGAAAATTCTATTTACAAACTCAGCCTTTCTTGAACTATTCTGATTTGGATTCGGCCTTACTTGAGGAAACCATGTAGCAGACTCGTCCAGATCCTCTATCATGGCCGAATTTAAGGTCGTTCTGTTTGTAGTAAATATCCAATAAAGTAGACATATTGTAAGAAGTCGAAGTTACTCTTTTCCTCAGAAGATGTCAACCAGATGACCAACAAATTTGGCTAATAACTTAGCCTGCAGAAAATACAGTCATAAGTTTACTAGAGTTGAAGCTAACCTGGAGTCTTCTCTTTCACCACGTTTAGATCTGAAAACTGGAGAAAATTCCCCACTCTTGGGCAATATAGGACCAAATTTTACATAATCAGGAATTGACAAGCTCACCTCATGTAGACTACTCATAGGTGGTTCCGAAATTGGCAATATTGGAATTACCTTCCTGTTAGTGGTTAAACTTGAACTTGAATCTGAGTTCATACAATCCTTATAGTACTTGGCAAATATCCGCGTATTGTCATCTAATGATTCTCCATAAAGCTACTCCAATTTTTACAGTTTCTCCATTTGATCTGGCCTCATGGAGAAAACCACAGACTCAATGAAGAATTGATCAAAATCAAAAGCGAAGGACAAATCAGAAGAAGAAGCGGGAATAACTTCCATCATAAGCCTATGTCTGGACTCTGAATACCACCCAACAATTGAGCCCATGTATGGAAGAAACAGATCTTTCCAGAGTTCAGGAGCAAAATCAATCCGAGAGAAGAAAGGATCAATGATAAACATCTCAAGCACATGAAGAACTGAATTCTCAATCAGCTCTTATTTTTTATATAATTCTGAATTCTGAGGCTCTAAAAATACTCCAAAAAAATCCATTGCAAATAAACATTAACTGAACTCAAACCAAGATAAACATTAAACTTGCTACTGCAGAAACGAAGAATGCGGAGAAACTGACTGCAAATCTGCAATCGTAACTGTTGTTAACATTTAAACAAACAGATTCTGCTCGTGCGATATGGAAATCAGGAAATGAACTGAATCACACTGTAGAAGGCTTCGAGAAGAAGAGATAATGGAAACAAACAGCTTACCTTGTTGAAAAAGCAAGCTCGAAAGATGCGAGATGATCAGCGAAAAATCATCTCCGAGGAAGTTCCGGTGAAATTTGAGGCATGAGTGGTGGTAGCTATGCCGGCTTTGGCTGTTGCTGATGGATGATTGAAGCAAACAGTCGACTCTTTACTAATTTATACTTCGTATTTTAACAGTCTTTTGGATTTTGCTTTTGGTCCGCAAACAGTATGTTGGTAAAAACCTAAATACACAAAAAGTAAATAAATAAATAAATAAAAACTAAAGTCGGTTTTGTTAGACCTAATGATTTGACGTCAAACCTTAAGTGTTTGAGTGAAATTGTTAAAATTTTGAGTTTTTTTATCGTCGTGAGTTCCATCAAAAAGTAACTTGATGGCCGCACGCCTCATTTGAGGGGTGAAATGTACACCTGATCTGAAAATCGAATCTCCAATTATTAATTAGCAGCGTACACAAATATTTTATTTATTTAGATAAGTATTACATTTAAACTATAAAAAGAGTTGATAAGTATTAAATATAAAAATAATATATTTATGAGTATTAAATTAAGTAATAAATATCAAAGTTAAAATTATTTAGTAGATCTCTTTATTTAACTTATTTAATTGACTTATTTTTTATATTTATATATTTATATAATTAAAATTTTATATGTATCTATTATAAACAATATCTATATAATAACAATAATTTTTAAAAATAAAACTAAAAGTTAAATAAGCTCTATAGACTAAATAAATTACATATGTAATAATAATCATTTATATAAATAATAAATTTTAAGTCAAACACATCATATATATAATAATGGAATTTTGTATTAGATTTTTTTTCTTAAATCAAATATATAAATATATATTAATAAATCATATAGTATCTATTTAGTAACTTTAGTTAAATATTAAGTACAAATCTTCAAATATTTAAATAAATATCAAATTTAAAAAATTATGCTTAAAACTTTTTAAATTAACTATCAAATATAATTTAAACTCCATTTATACCCGTCAATGCTCTTGTATAAAATCTGGCCCTTGTATTTATATCATTGGACCAGATCATATTTAACTGTCAATGAAATGACAAAAGTGCCCATCGTTTAGAAAGATTCTGTACTCATCGTGTACGGTTTTTGGTTTTCAGCGGAAACCTCAGCAGAGCGGCCCAAGCCGAAATATCATGCCCACTACCCAGTTCATTAGTACGGGCCGTAGATAACCAACAGGCCCGAAAAAGCCCATTTTTTTATTTCCATTTTTTTCTAAATAATTAATTTACAATTCAATCAACATAAATTATACAATTTATAATCATTAATTAATGAAAAGAAAATCATTTCAATATCAAAGCGTTTCCCTCATCTATGGTCTCTATGTTTACACCTTTAATTATTAATGTGCACATTAAGTGATGTTATTATTACACATTTAATTATTAATGTCATTTTTTTTATTTTATTTAATTATTATA